CCTACCTACCTACCTACCGTACCTACGTAACGTAAGTAGTACGGACGTACGTCGTACTACTAAGTAGTACGTTACTTACTTACTTATTATTACTACTACTCTCTCTCTCTCTCTCTCTCTCTCTCTCTCTCTCTCTCTCTCTAGGAAGCAGGATGGAGAAAATTTTTGGCATACGTTGGGCCTGGTTTCCTTGTCTCACTGGCCTATCTTGATCCCGGCAACTGTAATCCTCCTCTTACTGTACCCTTTCATTTCATGCTTCTCTCTTTCTCTAATGGTTTCATGGTTAGATAACTTTCTCTGACGGAGTCATTTTGTTGTTACAGTAGAGACGGACCTTCAAGCAGGAGCGAGTCACAAGTACGAGGTAGGATGAGAGATAAAATACTTTTTCTTTCTCTCTCAGATTTGAGTTTTAGTATTACCTTTTTCTGCTGAAACATAATATAATACGGTGCGTTTAACAGCTGCTATGGGTGGTGCTTATTGGGCTTATCTTTATTCTCATAATTCAGTCACTTGCAGCAAACCTGGGAGTCACTAAAGGTAAGGGGAAAGAGAGGCCCATTAATGTTTTAGGATTTAAGAATCCCCATATAGTATGTGATTTTTTTTATGTGGGTGATTTTGATTATCACCATATCCAACGCAACAGGGAAAAGAAAGAAACAAGGAAAGAGAGATGATAAGAGAAAAGTGGAAGCCAGGAAAACACATGTGTGGGAAAAAAGAGTGTGGGAGTTAGTATTCCAAAATTGCAAAAACTGAGTAAGGCCTGTCTTCCCCACTTAATTGCAAAAAAAATAAAAAAAAATAAAAAAAATAAAATGTTGGTTAATTCAGTGGCTCATAAGAGTCAGATTTTTAAAGTGCTAGTATGGGTGTTGGTGGTAGGAATCCAAAAGATAACGTGGTGATTATACATGGGATGCTACCACCACAACCCCAACCACTGTCAATATAAAGAGGTTACAATCCTTTCTATATTTCATATTTCAAATTGGGTGGTTTTGAGTGTATCTTAAAGTTTAAAAAAAAAAATTTCCGACTTTTGTAACATATTTTAATCCATCCAATTTTCTATCTAACTGTTAATAGCAATTGTGACCTCTTTATAAGAAAGTTATCGGCATTGTTGTACACGATCCCTTATAAAAGAAAAAAAATTATGAAAAGGGAGTTGAAAAATAAATGGAGGGAAAAGAATTTCCAAAAGAAAAAAAATAAGAGATATATAAAGATCGTTCTGAAAAACCCAAAATAAAAAAGAGGCCAAACAGGAGAGAGAGAGAAAGAGGAAAAGAATGCAAACAATAATCCTAGAGAGATGAAACCAAGGTGCTCTAATTAATTAAGTTGTTTTACGTCTACCCAAAAAAATAAAAACCCAATGAATAAATACCCATCCACAAGTGAAAAAACAGAAGAAAACGAAAATACCATTGACTACCAAATATGCAAAAGGAAACTAGACAGAGAAAGATATAATTTAGGTTAATTCCTTGAGAGAGAGTATAAATGTACGCGATTACCAAATCTTTGTGCAGGAAAGCATTTGGCAGAGCACTGCAGGACAGAGTATCCAAAGATTGTGAATTACTGCCTTTGGTTACTAGCTGAAGTGGCTGTGATCGCAGCTGACATACCCGAAGGTAACTACAACCAAAAAAAAAAAACTGAATCAGCTTTCATTTAATGAACATACACCTCTTGAATTAATGTTTCTTGCTTTTTCTTTTTTTGAGTGAATTACGTAGAGACCTTAAAATTTTAGATAAAATACAAAAAGGCACGCTTTCTATGTTTTCCCTCCAGCATCAAACTTATATCCTTCCCCAATTACAATGTCACATCTCTTTACTATTTTTTTATTATTATTTTTTTTCTATAAACTATTTTGACACCAAATTTTAGAAGTCCAATTCTCTGTTAGACTCACACTAGCAAAAAATATGAAAAACATATTTCTAATAGCAAAAAATATGAAAAACATATTTCTAATAAAATAAAATGACCAAAATATAAAATAAAATGACCAAAATACCCCTAAAAGCTTCAAGGGGTATTTTGGTTATTATATTTTATCGAAAATTTATTTTTAATATTTTTTATAGGTTCGCCCCAATGAGAAGATGGCACGTACCAAATTTCATATTCATACAAGTTTTATAAAAAAAACCTAAAAATAAAATAATTTGAGACGTCGGATCAAAGATCAAACGGTGAGCAGCTCTCTTGATCAAATTTGGACGGTTGGATGGTAGGGGAAGCATAGATCTATAAGGGAGATATAGAAACCTTTCCCAATACAAAATGCTTTGTTTATAGGTGGTTACAAATAAGTTTAGTCAACCGGTTTTTGTTTTTTCAAAATTGCCCTTTGGTCAACCTAAATTTTAATTATTTTTTTTTTTTCGTTATTAAGGCATTGCCCCAAAATTTAAATCACATTCATTATTAAATAAATAAATAAATAAATAAATCAAAATTCAGTTTGACCGAGGGGAAATTTATGAAAAAAAATAAAAAAAAAGACAAGTTGACAGGACCTTCTTTGCGGTTATCGTATATAATTGGAGCATTTTGTATTTTACTTAAAAATTTAAGGTCATTACTTAAATCACTCTACTTTTTATTATAAAAAAAGTTTATATAAGGCTCAATCACTTTTGGAGTTTAAAATCTTATCATTAGAATGAAAACAGATTTTTGGGCTATCTTAAAAATTTTCGACACCAAAATTACGTCTAATGACAAAGTTTGAAGCTGCTCCTTACTTTGATTGTTTTATGACAAAGTTTGAAGCTGCTCCTTACTTTGATTGTTTTAGGTTGCAAGCTCATGCAAAACTCACCCTTTTATTATAGATACCATTTCTACTTATCTCTCTGAACAGTCATTTCCATATCTTTCTTTCCCTAACCAGTCATAGGCACGGCGGCCGCTCTCCAAATCCTCTTCCATATTCCAATATGGGCCGGAGTTCTCATCACTGGTCTCAACACGTTCCTCCTCCTCGGCCTGCAAAGATATGGGGTAACAATATTTTTTAAAATTAAAAGTTTTTATTTAATGTATGTTGTCAGGTTCTAGAGATTATAGCCTCAAATTTTTATCTAAAAGATAATCCCAGTATCAGTTTTGCTTGAGGGAGTAGATGGATGGTATACTCGCAGAAGAGTAAAAAATCTTTTGGGCTTCAAATTTTGAGGTGTTTAGTACTATTTTGGAGCTTTAAATTTCATAACTAGTGGTTAAAAATATTTTAAGATCGTCGCAAAAGTTTCCGACGGCGAAATTCTTTTAGAAAGATTTAGAGGTGCTTATACAAACCACACCCAAAAAGGAAAAGTGGGAAAAGTTCATTCGGTTTTCTGATCAATGGACGGGCAGTTACTAGGACCAATTGGACACACCTTTGGGTGATGTCTACTTGTGGTTGTCTTGCTCTCCCTCCATCAACATCCAAATTATCCGGCATGCCATGTGATGTCAACCGTCGGGGTTGAGAATGGCCGATTGAGATGAATTGTCCCTGCATTTCCTTTTATATATATATCAGAATTGGTAAATGAGGCCGCCTAAAACATATTTACATGGCCTGGATTCCATTCCGACCACCTTTTCCTGCTAATCTTTTTTTTAATTTTGTTACCCTTTGTTTACTTCTTTGCTTAGTACCTAGGGCTTGGCCCAAGTATGGAGCAGTTCGATATTTGCTGACATTAAACCGCCTTCCGTGTTAGAAACTTTTTGTTTTTTTTTAAATAAATGTGCGGATTGATATCAATAACATCGAACTGCTCTATATTTGTGCTACATTGACACATAAGAGTGGATCAATGTTGCCAATGTCGACGATGTTATGCTTGTCAATTTGTGATTAATTTTTTTGTTGCCACAAAGTTAAGCTTCTCAATTTGTGATTTTTTTTTTTTTTTTTGTGTAATTTGTGAACTAGGTTCGAAAGCTGGAACTTTTGCTGGCTACCATGGTGTTTCTAATGGCTGCTTCTTACATTGCGGAGTTGGCCTATGCAAAGCCAAAGGTATCACAAGTATTCACGGGCATGTTCATTCCTAAGCTTAGCGGTAATGGGGCTACCGGTGCTGCCATTGCTCTCATTGGGGCTCTCCTCTCGCCGTAATCGCCTCTCTCTCTGTTACTCTCCCAAGCATAGTTCGCAAGTCATTGTTTATTTGACGATTTTTAGAAAAATTCAACGTTTTTATAAAAACAGTTTTAAATGGAGACTTTATGAAAAGGTCGAAAAGAACCGCGTAGTTTTCATAAAACAGTTTAAAACGTACTTTTTCATAATAAGATTTACATCAGGCAAAAAAACCGTATTCTTTTTTATCTATATTTTAAAAAAAAAAGATTTGTGTTCCTGTTTTGTGTATTGCAGCCATTGCTACTGTCGTGCTTTTGAAAAAAAAATATTATTTCAAAAAAAAAAAACTAAAATACAACTTTTATCCCCACGGTATTTTTCAAAGCTACAGTTGCATATTGACGGTATGAATTTTTTTAAAAACTTCAACAAATAGATGCAGGTTTCAGTTGTCACTCTGGAAAATCATTATGTAAATGAAATATTGTTTATAGAAAATCATTTTGTAAAGTAAATCATTGGGAAAAAAAACATATACATGAAGATTTCTATGATTATTTGTGATAATTGTTTTTATAAAAATACTGTTTATGGTACAAATTAGAGCTCAAAACATAGTCTTTTACTGATGAATGAGAAGCAGAGAGTGTGACTATAGGACCAGGTAATCATTTTTTTTTTATTGTGTAAACTATAAACTTACAGAGTAAGTAATTGTACATATAGGATAAGTTCCCCAAACTTAATCCTTCAGCTTTGCTTGCTGTTTTTCCAAAAAAATGAAAAACCCACTTCAAATTATCCCAAATCAGAGGAAAAACCCCTCTTCAAACTATCCCAAATCAGCATCCCATCTTTTTTTTTCTCTCTCTAAAAATTAGTTAGGACCTCTTCCATTAGGTTTTTCTTTTTCTCTCTCTAAAAATCAATTAAGACCTCTTCCATTGGGATTTGTGAAGCCCATGACCTCTTTCTTCTTCCTTCTTCTTCTCTATAAACCCTAATGGCTATGAGCCTAGCCCTATTTTATTCTCTTCCTTTTTCCCTCTTCTCTCTTATCTTCCTTCTTCCTTCTTCCTTTTTCCTTTTTCCTTCTTCTCTCTCTAAACCGTAAACACAAAGATATGAAACCCAAATTTCTACAAGCCTCTTTTCAATTAAAGAAATATATAAAACTTTAACCATAGTTATGGAGTGACCATAGTCACCATACCATAATTAAATCATTGTAATGAGAAAACAAAAATCATGTATTTTTTTTGGCACCGGCTAAGTAGGTGTGATATTGAAGCATTTAATGAATAAATTTATAGTATATTTGTCACCGTACAATAGTTAAAGTATTTTAAAGAATAAATTTATATAGTATATTTGTTTTTGTATGTAATAAGTAGGTGCGATGTTTCTTAAAGTATGGTAGATTTTTTTTTGGTATATACTAGTTAATTATGTATTTAATATTAGATGATTGGATGAGAGTCACGAAGCATTTAATTAATTGACTTAATTATATTAGTCTAGTCAAGTTTTTATAGATGAATTAGTAATTGATGGCTTTGAAATAATTTTTATTGTTTAGAATTTCAAAATTTCTAATATTATAAATTTGTCTGATTTTTTTACTCCGATTTTTTTAGCCTAATTCGATATATTAGCGATATCTTTATATGAAGTATTTTTGCCAATCCGTATTTTTTACCAGATTTTTTCATCCGATTTTTTAAAATAAAAATAATTTATTTTTTATTTTATGGTGAGCCAATTTATTGATAGTCCCAGACTTGCTAACTGTGCTCCAAGTGTTTAACGACTCGGTTACTCAGATTCGGTTCTTGACGGAGCCTAATATTCAAGTACACTTGGATGCATTAAAAGTGTAAAAATAAAAAACTATATAAATGTGTAGCATCGATGCATGAAAAGTATACATGCAATTTAGACGTGCTTGACACTGATTTTTTAATTTTTATTGTGACAGCTTCAAAAACCTAACCATTTAAAAAATAGGTAGGTGCATGTATTCCCCATTAAATTACCTCCAAAAAAAAAAAAGGTCAAGTTTTTTCTAAGTTAACGTTTTACTTTTTACATTTTGTAGCTCATTTGCATTTTTTAAGTTAGTTTTTAGTTTTATTTCATTTTTAAGGTTTCTATTTTATTTTTTAATATTTTTAAATTTCTTTTTATTTATTAGTGTTTTTGGCATTGTGAGTGACACAGCAGAGCCCAGACCCAGTCGAGCTATGTGGTTGGGACTAGGGCCGAGTCTAGAAACATTGCTCTATATAGGCAAGTGCTATGAAAATTGGCACCCCTAGGAGCGATGCAAATTAAAGGATATCAATATATAAGTATAGTAAAAGGAAAATGGTTTGACAGGGCTGCAGCTCTATCAAAATAAGTAAAGCCTCTTTTTATAGTTCACTGAAAATTGCAATTCAAGCATTGAACATCTTAGCTTGAACATTATGGTTGCGAAAAGAATTGAGGATTTCAAACTCTAAAAATAATGTATATTGTAACAAATTATTTAGACCATGCATTTCGCCTTAAAACTAACTATACATAGTCTGTAAGATTTGTACCATTTTTTTATTTTTAAATTTTATTGTCAGTATTAAAAAATTATTTTAGAGCCATAATGGAGATTTTGGTTGCCAAAAGTGCTTTCCGGATGTGATTTGATGTGAGGATTTATTTTGCTTTCATAAAACCTAAGCCCTATAGAAACTTCATCCATAATAAAAAAGAGAAATGATAATCGTTCCTATTACAAGAGAGAATGATGGAAATAAGTGTTGTTTTTTTCCTGTTGGAATTAAAGAACGGAAAATTGGGAAATTAAGAAGTGGTGTTGTTTCATGGAGATTGTTTTCCAGGATTAATAATGCTATGAAATATTTTGCAGGCATAATTTGTTTTTGCACTCAGCGCTTGTCTTATCGAGGAAGGTGCCCCAGTCTGTTCATAAGATAAATGTTAGTAGCAAAAGATTGGGCATCTCTCTCTCTCTCTTTCTTATTTTGGCTTCTTATTTCTTTCTCTTCAATAGTTAAATGATCGGAATCAAATTTGAGATGCAGCGTTGCTAACGTTAACTTCTATCCACTCGAGCATAACCTCATTTTTTATTGGTTTTTTATCTCTTTTTTTAGCTTTGTTATTGATTTCTATCTCATTTATTTTAGAGTGAATTACTTATAGACAAAAAACCAAATACTAAAAAACGAAATGAGTCAAGTTTGGGTTAAAATTATAATGAAAGTTGGTTATGGTAAGGTTTTACTTTTTTCAAAATTGCCCTTAAGTCCTATGATTTTTTTTGTTTTTTTTTTTTTCAATTGAAGGGTTTTGCCTTAATGTTTGGGGCAATGCCCAATTAGTCCGATGTTGGCGTCATCAGATTGTCTTGTATGGTACTCTTCAAAACAGTCCGAGGTTGGCATCCTTGGACTGTAAAGACGGACTTTTTTAAGCATTCAAAAGCAGTCCGAGCTGCCCATTCTCGGACCGCCCTCTCCGGTGCTTTTCAGGCGGTCCGAGGTTGGAATCCTCAGAACGCATTAGCTCATTTGTTTGCTAAGAAATACGGCAATCCGACGATACCAACCTTGGAATGCCTTCTGGAATGGGCACTGCCCTTTACAATAGGGCACTGTCCCTTACACTAGGGCACTGCAAATTAAACAAAATAAAATAAAAAGCGGTTCTTAAACCGAAGAGCAATTTTGGAAAAAAATAAAATAAAAATAAAAAGGATTTTCAGACCTTCCACGTAATTTTCGTCCAAAACTAGCATATTCTGTTTTTTTATGTATCCGTACATAAATTACTTTTTATTTTATGCTATAGCCATTTTATCTCTTTTTCCGCTTGAATTCCTGGATCAATGGATTCTCCCCCTCTTTCTTCTCTCAGAATGATTTATGCTTCAACCTGAATTAGATGTTCGTATGCAGAGTGCACGCAAATACATCTTCGTAGAGACTGGATTTCCACTTTTCCTGGCATTTCTAATCAATGTGTCGGTGGTATCGGTATCGGGTACAGTGTGCTCAAGGCAGCACATCTCCGATGAGGATGCAGATAGATGCAACAACCTCGATCTCAGCTCCGCCTCCTTCTTGCTCAAGGTACCAATCCCCCAAAATGGTCAGGTAGCTAGCTACAAGAAAAACAAGATTTGTGTATGTGTGTGTTTGTGTGTTAATATCAGCATTTGTAAACTCGACTGGTCAAATTGGGACCGGGTACTAGCCGATCCGGTTTCGTCCTTGGATTCTAAATTGGGAGGTTCTAAAACAGTCATTCAAAAGCCCGAAAGTTCAAAAAAAAAAAATTCCTCAAACTTCGAGACTAAGCCAAGCCATCGAACTTGACATTTAATGAGTAGGAGTGATTGTGATGTCCTTATAGTATATATAACTGGTCGCATTGTATACAATTCCGTAACAATTTAAGTTGATTCCGAATGGATAAACTCAATTATTAAAACTGTGGCGCTAACATTATTTGTCCTACATCCTACAGAATGTTCTAGGTAGATCCAGTTCTACAGTGTATGCAATTGCTTTACTAGCCTCAGGGCAGAGCTCTACGGTAACCGGAACTTATGCTGGTCAATTTATTATGCAGGTAGTTACACAAGAATAAAGAGTTTGAGAAGCTCTTTTGTGGTAGATGATTGTTTTTGGGGTTTCAAAGGAAGATAATTCGTTTTTGTAAATATTATGTAGTATTTTTTAAAAAAAATAATATATGGTATGTTGTTGTTGCAGGGATTCTTGGAACTTCGAATGAAGAAGTGGATGAGAAATCTGATGACAAGGTGCATTGCCATTGCCCCAAGTTTAGCGGTATCCATTATTGGTGGATCCTCAGGTGCCGGCAAGCTTATTATAATCGCTTCGGTGAGATAGAGAGATATCTTTTTTTTATTTTTTGTTAGTTTAGGAATCAAGGGTTTTTATTCTCATCCCATCATTGATGAGAGAGAGAGAGAGCACTTCCTTAATTTTTGGTTAAATGTTTGGGGGATCCCTTTCTTTTTAACCGAGGTCGCACCAAATATTTCGTTTATGATTCGGATTGGGTTGTGGTGGCAGCACCACTTGAGCTCCAGCTAAGATAGGGGTTCATCATCCCCCACTAAATTATCCAAAAAAAAAAAATGATATTCCATTTACAATAAGAAATTTTGGATTTGGCGTCGCTTAAATATTTCAAAAAATTGGTTTTCTATTCTTCAATGCATGAAATACAAAAATAGGACCTCCTATGGCAGGCAGCATCGTGATTTGGTATTACTCACATTTCCTCTTTTTTTTCAACTACCATATGTTCATATCAGCTTTCTCTCCATGTAGAAGAGAGAGAGAGAGAGAGAGAGAAATGATTTTGTTAATATATAATTTGGAATTTACAGATGATACTATCTTTTGAGCTGCCATTTTCTCTCGTCCCTCTGCTCAAGTTCAGCTGCGGCCCAACAAAAATGGGTCCCTACAAGAATTCCATCTATGTGAGTTTACTCTCTTCTACTCTACCAATGATGGTAACACAATAATTTTATATGGGGAAATTTGTCAAAATACACTTAGATATTAACTATTTAAAATCTTACCTATATATTTTGATTTAATTTCAAAATTCCCATCAAAATACGCATGATTTTGACTTTGAATAGAAGAAAAAATATATTATATCAAATAGTTTAAATAAGAAATGTATTAAGATAAATTTCCCTCGAAAATATTAAATAGTTAGAAAACTGGAGTTTGGATGTTGATATTTGATAGATATAAGAAAAGGGATTGCCTACAAAGAAACCATTTACATTTTGTACAAGGAGGTGACAACTAGTCCCACTTATTAGATGTCAAATTGAATGGTTTGGGTTGAGTCAGAAAGTCCAATAATTTTTATCCGAAACTTTGTGTCCAGTAAATGATACTCTTTCAACTGCCCATTTTGAAATCTAAGGGACAAGAAGGATTGGATGATTTATGTTCAATCATAGGATTTCAGTTGTTTTAGACACATAAAGAGTGTGATTTGACTCTTTCTTTTATTGTTTAAGGTCACTAGGTGGATTGATGAGGTTGTATTAGATTATAACCAAGATATTTAATGAACAGTTTGCACCTACACGAGTAGAAGAACTTTTGGAGTGAACTCATGTTTGTATTGGCAATAGTCTATGAAGTTTCTGTAAGGCCTAGGCTTTATGAAACCAAATAAAGTCTCACTTCAAATCCTTGCTTGGAAAGCACTTTCGGCCACTGAAATCTCTATAGTGGCTCTAAAATCAATTTTCAACACTGACAAAGAAATTTGAAACTCAAAAGCTCATACAAACTTTGTGGATCTTTCAAATTAGTTCCTTAGGGACTTCTTCACTCATAGTTGTTATTATTTTGTTTTGCAGATTGTCATCGTCACATGGATCGTAGGGTTTTGCATAATTGGAATTAATGTTTATTTCCTAAGCACGGGCTTTGTCCATTGGTTAATCCACAACCACTTGCCCAAGTTTGCATCAGTTTTAATAGGCATCATAGTCCTTCCTCTAATGGCTGCCTATGTTATAGCAGTCATCTACCTAACCCTAAGAAAGAACAGGGTGGTCACTTTTGTAGATGCCCAAGAAACCCTAGACCAAAGCCATTTGGAGAAAGGTGAAGAAGGCAAGAAAGAAGAAGAAGAGAAAGATATCCCCTATAGAGAGGACCTTGCAGATATTCCATTCCCTGAGTAGCATGTGTACCTCTTTTCGTTTATGAACCAACTGTCCCTAACAAGGGGAGATAGATATTAAACGCAGTAGAAATAGTAGTACTAGAAGTGATGGAACTTTGAATTGTAATTTTTGAGCCATTTTTTTGGTTATGCAACAAGAACATGGGAATCCATGGCCAGAGTTCAAGTTACAGATATTCTTCTTTGTTTTTATATCTGAGTCGCTGGCTGAAATTAAAAATGATTTGGAAGTGGGGAAAGACGGGTGACCTCCAAAGAAGCCCTTGTATAGAACCCATACGTACTCATCAAAAAGTATGAGACAATTCTACCTATATTGTTCTGATCCCTAAAAAGTCAGTTATAATAGAGTTATTAGATATCAGACCTATCAGGTTACTGTCAAGTCTGTATAAGATTGTGGTAAACATTTTGGCGGAAAGGCTCAAAAGGTTCCTAGATTCTTTAATTATGGTCCCTCAAGCAGCTTTTACCCAAAACCGATTAACTATAGACAGTGTCTTGGTAGCTCAAGAGTGTGTTCATTCTAAGATTCTAAGTGGAGAGCCGGGGGGTGGTTATTAAGTTGGACATGGAAAAAGCTTAGGATAAGGTTGAGTGAAGTAGTCTTTTGGAAATTATGAAGGTCTGGGGTTTGGGGATAAAAAGAGAAAATGGATTTTTGGCTGCCTCTCGTCTACATACTTCTCAATTCAATTTGATAGATGTCCTACTGACTTTTTCAAAGCTTCTACAGGACTTTGACAAGGTGATCCCTTTTTACCCTTTCTGCATAATGTGTATGAAGAGTGTTTTAGTCAGATGATAAATAATATGGTGAATAGGGGAAATTTTAATGGGTTTAAGATTGCTCAGGATGGACCAATTATTTCACATCTTCAATATGTGGCTGATACATTTTTCTTTAGTGAGGCAAATGAGGAGCATATCAAAAACATTGGTCTTTTTTTGAAATGTTGTGAAGTAGTTGTTTGTTTGAAGGTGAACTTTGCAAAAACATCTCTAATATGAGTGAATTGTGATGATCAGATGGTTGGTGTTTTGGCACGAGCTTTAGGTTGTAAGGTTGATACATTCCCACTCATAGACTTGGGTCTTCCTCTTTCTGATTCTTGATTAACAGTATGAACTTAGGATAAGGTTATTCAACGGGCTCAGTGTAAGTTGGATTTATAGAAGCCCAAATATTTGTCTTTGGGAGGTCCAGTATGGCAAATCTCCCTATCTATCAAATGTTTATGATTAAAATGCCAAATGTTGTGGTGAAGAGGATAGAAAAAGAGATGAGGGATTTTCTTTAGGGTACCTTTGGAGAGGAGAGAAAATATCACCTGTTGAGATGGGATAGAGTGTGCACCACAAAAGCCAAAGGATGACTGGGTATTAGGAGAGTTGGTTTGATGAATGATGCGTTGTTGTGTAAATGGTGGTGGCGTAGCCTTATCCTAAAGGATCAATTGTGGTTTAGGGTGCTACAGGCTAAATATGGTCTTAACAGGTTTGGGATGTCGTTGGGGGGTGGGAGAGATAATGCTGCAAGACCTGTTTTTTGGGAAGATTTATTTATGTGCAGATCACATATGTGTAGGGATACTAGATGGTGTACAGGTAATGGCTCGCCTATATCCTTTTGGCTCCATAATTGGAATAGAGAATGGTTGTTGAAGTTATCTTATCTTGAACTATTTTCAAGAGTTTCTAATCCTCGCATTTTAGTTACGAGCTTATGGGTGATAAGGTTATTTGGAATGTGCAAGTGCCATACAATAGAACTCCTGAAGGGGTGTCGTCTCAATTGTTATCTTTGTTGGCTAAACTAAACGAGGTCTTTATTCCTCGTGATACAGAGTGTGAGGTAGTTTGGGAAATTGATGACGATGGATATCTTTGTTGGTAGAAGAGTTCTTTATTCCTCGTGATATGGAGGATGAGATAGTTTGGGAAATGAATAAGGCTGGAATTTATTTAGTTAAATCAATGTATGCACTTTTGTTCAATGATAGATGGAGGTCGATGTTACCACAAGTGGCTCAGGTGTAGAAATGGCCAATACCACATAAGATTCAATGTTTTTTATAGCTTGATGCACTTAATAAAATTCTGACAATAGACAATCTCTTTAAAAGATGAAAGGTATTGCCAAATGTTTGTCTAATGTATAAAATGGATGGGGAGTCGATGGCCCATCTGTTTATGCACTGTAGTTTTGTGACTAATATTTGAGGTTTCTTAAGCCAAATAGGGATTAGTACAGTCATTCCTCATGATTGTTTGGGTATTGATACTCGGACCTTGGCTTAGCCCTTCAACCACATTTGTGGTCCAGACCCTAATTTTATAGGGTGGGGCCACACGGACCATTGCTACCCCTAAGGGCATTAAGGAGCCCGTGCTGCTAGGCCCAAGCCATGCCTCGTAGGCCCAAAATATTTTGCCGTGGGCTAGGATGCAATTAGAACATCTGGAGCCAAAGCCAAATGTTAGGTTTGTACAAGGTGTCAACCTTCAACAATCACGATAAAGTGCACCACAAAATCTAATTAAAATATGTATATTTGATGCTAATATTCTTATTATGACCTAAAATTCTATTTTTCACCCCTATAATGAAATTGAAAGATATGAAAATGGTGCAAACCTAACAGATCTATGAGCATTTAAAAATCTTAAAAATGCAATGTTCAGATAACGTGCTACAAGATACACTATTTTTAAGATTTGAAATTCATTTTCTTCTTTCATATCCATATATATCGAAATCAAGATGATCAATTAGATATTAATCCAATGATGAAACAGCCTTTTTTTTATGGGATTTTGAGGTGCACCTTACTTCTATAGTACATAGTATAAGGTTGACACCTTATATAAACTTTTTTCATCATAGAATAACTTACCAAGAAAAGAGGAAAAGGAAAACATTAGACAACATTTAACAATAAATAACATTTACATAACAATCCAAAATAACTCCACCATGGATCAACTTGATTGTATCATAGTTTGTCTGTTCAGACTATTTATTGATCACTTCTTTTACAGCATCATCCATGTTCATGGCATAATTTTCGTGCGAGGTGAACCTCTAAATTTCCATTCATCCTCTGATTTGTGATGCACTAAAATTAGGGAACTAACAAACTGTGTTCTAATTATAACGGGAGTAGTATATAATAGAGTTATCACCATCCCATAAATTACTTTTTATGCGATTGATTACTTTTTAGGGAAACCATACTATTGCTTTTTATGCGATTGATTCCATGACCATACTACGTGATTGATTCCATGACCATACTTATGAGGTGCTTTTCCTTTCCGATGACCTGACTGATTCCATGACCATACTTTTTACGTACTTTTCCGTGCTACCCATTTGATAATTGTGGGAGGAGTGGCCCACTTTGTATTGGTTACAATTATATAATTTAACCTTGAGGAATTACAGAATATATTTCGTTGTGGCGAGTCCATCGGCTAAATGTGGTTGATAGGGGTCTCATTCTGGTGGAGAATTGCAATGGATGCAACTACTTGTATTTGGGTGGAGGTTTTGTGGTTTTATTTTTCTATTAGCAAAGCAAAATGATTAATCAAAGGGGAATGATGTTGTTATTCGCAGATGGAAAAAGTTTATATAGAGTCGAAGTTCTAAACAATCAAATTTGAGTCTACCTAAAAAATATCACTAGAAGAAGAGGTTTTGATGCTTAAATATCTTCAAATTGATCATCTCGACATCAAGAATGGACGTGAGAAAAAATGGATTTCAAGTTTTGAAAATAGCGTATTTTATAATGTATTTTTAGACCGTAAATTTTCAAGATGTTCAAGTTTTCATAGAACTAACAATCTACACTATTTTTGAAGATTGAAACTTTATAAATTAAGATGAAAATATATTTTAAGGTTATCACAAATATTTTCAGCATGAAACCACATTTTTAAACACTATCCGAAAGTAGGCTCTAATTTGATTGTTGAGAACCTAGGCTCTATATAGACCCCACCCTTTATAGATATACGGTGTTGTTGTGCATGTAATTAGTAAATCATCGATTATGCAGAGATAAAAATGACGATAGCCTTGGATAGCCCAGTCAAGGGTTTCTTCCCAATTTGCCTTTTCTATGCGCAGGGAGGATGGTTTTAGAGAGAGAAAGGAAAAGGGGTTTTGTAGAGGGAGATGCCTTCCATGGGTCTCCAAGGGATTTGTGAAGGGAGAGTGTTTTTAGAGAGAGAAAGTAAACGGGTTTTATGGTGGGTTGTCTGAAAAAGAATTTATGATGCACTAAATCTTGTAAACTCCTCATGTTGACTCTCTCTCTCTTTAACCTTTCGAGACTTTGGAAATCCAGCTCATAGAAACTAGCGGCTAATACTGCATTAGTGGGTCTCATATTGGGCCATGCATTATATTTTGATTAAAGTTATTCTCGTCATCCTATATAAGGTTGGCATCACATACAAAGTGATTCCTTTGTTAATACTCTTTCGATAAAGTAGTTGATTTAACTACTTTAGTTTGAATAAGTTTGACAATTCTAAATCAATGAAGAAAATCGGGCTTGGACTTGAATGGTTAGCAGTTGGGAATTTAGCCGCGCTACATCTCAAGTTAAATTCCCATCACTGTACTACCCAAAGAGAAAAAAAAAAAAAGGTTTGATAATTGGAAAAATATTATATAAGGGCGAGGCCCTAAACAAATAAATTAAGGCACCCTTCAAAATTCCACTAAAAAAGATTATTGTGATTCTCAAAAATCATCAAATCGATCATCTCATTCCACATAAAAAAGGTTATTGTGATCATAAAAAATCATCAAATCGATCATCTCAACCTCAATATGTATGGATATAAAAAAAAATGGATTTCAAGTATTGAAAATAGACTTTTTTGAAATGTATATCTGGACCGTTAGTTTTTAAAACTTTTGAAGTGTTTATAGATCTGCTCGATCTACACTATTTTTTAAGTTTTAAATTTTTTAATTAG